TAAAGTTTTTTTGCTTTTTATAATTTATGATAAGAAAAATTGGTTTAGGGCAAAATTTTTGGCTATGGTTAAAAACGTTTTCTGCTTATCTCAACGTTTTGAGACCCCAGGAATCCAAAAACCAAGTTTTAACAAAATGTCAGTCCGTCCGTTATCAAAAACCCTCATTCGCCAATAACTTTATAACTATCAAAGATACAAAAAAGTTGTATATTGTTTATATACTTTTTTTTTCTCAGGTAAGATTTCGACAGACGATGACCGAAAAAAAGCAGATGACGTCCATACCAATCCATTTATTTAACTAAAACAAGTTTCTAATAATTTTAAGTTAACTATGGATAGGTTTATATATAAATCTGTCATGCGTTATCTCGTGTTGTTTTTAACCAATTTTATTGGTTTATTTCAAAAATGACAGATCATATTTCAATATTATTGGTTCAACGGAACGATGAACGACAAACGGACGCCGATGCGTATGAACTCGACTTAAAATTTTTGAGAGTTCTCAAACTCTTGAGAAATTATAGATTATAATTTTGTATCAAATTATGTCAAATAGAAATGATAAATATTTTGCATTTTCTATTTTGGGCTGTGTTTACGTGTGTTTCGTATTTTTTAAAGCCACAAATAAAGTTTGTATACTGTTTTGTACCTATATATGTATTGTACCAAACCAAAAACTGGAGTCTCTGTAAAATAGCAGCTCACACGATAGGTAAATAATCATATTGAATAATCATATTGATAAATGTAACAATAAATGCAGGAAGTTGCTTGAGCTTGAAACACGGCTTGAAAGCAGAAAATCTTTTTTATATCTTTTTTTGGTATGTGGTGTTTTCTTAAAATACACCCTTGCTTGTTTTGTATTAACACATACTGTAATTGTTTTTAATAAAATAACTCGATTAGATTTTTTCAATTTTGTACAGTTTTTTTTCACAATATTTTGAAGTAATCACTTGTCAATCAAATTTTAAATATATTAATCTTTGATATTAATTTTCTGCTATGCGTTTCGATTGTACCAACTTATTTCTTTGTAAAATAAAATAAATCACTTTGAAAATAAAATGACAGACACATCTATCACTGTCAAGGATCTTGTCGATGGACAGCTTTTGGACAGACTATAGTAGGTACTATAGTCTGTCTACTATAGACAGACTATAGTAGTAATTTTAATTTCTACAAAATCGATCTATTGATTTTATTTTGTATCTCCTTTAGTTTTTGAATTATAGCTTTCGTGATGGTAAATGACAGCCAGACGTGTATTTTCTATGAAATTATAGTATTATTTATTATATGAAAAATTTTCAAATCCGGAAAAACATGAGCAAACATTTTGTAATTTTTGCAATTTTCAAGATGCCGATGCTGCCAGACTCATTTGCCAATTTCGTAAATCAGCCAGACTTGCTTTGACTATATAGTTTATGATAGTATCAAATAATACGTTAAAGTTCAAGCATGGGAAAATAAGGGACGGATTTCAAAAATCTGTCAAATTTTTGCATCCCCAAATTTTCAGCCAGACTTGGGATGTGCCAGATTGATATTTCCATTAATAAAATGATTAACTTTAACAAATGTTAAATATTTATGACTAGGGACATAAGTGGATTTTTTAATTTTTTATTTAGTGAAATTTTTAGCCAGACTCACTAATTGTCATTTAATGTCTGGAAAAATAAATACAAAAAAAAATTCACTGGCTCCTGACTAGTGAAGGTAAACTAAATAAATTATTGGATACAGTTTTACGCAGTTTTTGTCTAATAAATAATAGTTATTTTTTATACAAGACGATAAAATGGTATTTTATCGTCGTGTATTATAATACCTAGAAATTATAATAAAAATGTGACTAATAATAAAATGAAAGTTGATTGTTGAGAGCCCTCTGGGAAAAGTGCTACTTCCCTCTTGAGAATAATTTGACACCTGACGCAAAGTGTAGGCATTAAAATTCAAGGGATGAAAGAACACTCAACTCTCGAGGGTTTGTATATTATATGACTCTTTTCTCGGAGTTTTAATTGCTTGTGTTTTTTATAGCAAATAAAACAAAATATTTTCTTTGCGTACCTCCGGTTTCTTTGCAACCTAAAAGAAAACTTCAAGAAAATATATTTCCTTCAACGTTTACAGTTTCAAATTTCTTTGGGACTTTGGGTCAATTTATTGAAAAGCTTTATTTATACCTAAAATTTATAAGAAATTGGTATACAGGTTGAGTCTTAAATAAGTGAAAATATTTTAAAGGGTAGTATATTTCGACCCTAGACACACGATTATGAAATTCCTTTCGTGAAAAAAGAAATTGAAAATTTGAATTTTTTTGAAAAATTTTTGGATTTTTTTTAGTTTTCAGTTAAAAACATAATTTCTTGATAATATAGCAATAGAGGTAGTAGATTAAATTTACAAGAAAGAAACCCCAGAAAAGATCCAGTGTTTCTCAAAATTTAAGCAAAAAATATTTTTTTGGAAAATTTTCAAAGTAAAATAACTCGTTTTTTTTTACTTATTTGAAAAACGGTAAAAAGAAAATATGTTTCTTTAATCGATATCTTTGTCGATATTTACCAGCCCTGAAAATATTTCCACTTATTTAAGACTCACCCTATATAACGTTGAGAAGTTTTTCCATACGAGATCCGCATTTCAATGGCACGAATATTAAATGAAACATTAAAAAAGATTTAAGAAGAGGATTAATGTCAGAAATTCAAAAATCTACGGAACTATCCAATATTTTTCCAAGTTTTAAATCGCTTTTTACCTAAGCACCTCTAGTTCCTCAGCTTTGCTATTATTTAATCTTTTTTTGTCATAATTTCACCTCAAATTTAGGACAGTCTGTATAAAGCATGGTAATTTTTATAGTAGTATTTTTTGATAGAATTTATGTTCTATTTTGTCTGACAATTTATTCTTAGATGTTTCCATGTGCACTCCCTCGGAAGGTCATAACAATGCTATAAAAATCGGAGAAGAACTATTGGAATATGTAGCGGAATTTAATTACCTCGGCAGTTTTATTTCGGAAAAGGCCAATATCGACTCTGAAATTCAGCACAGGATTAGCAGCACCTCAAGAGCATTCTGAAAATTAAAAGACAGGGTTTTGTACAATTATAACTTGAGTACAACAACGAAACTTGCACTGTAACGAGCAATTATAATCCCCACCATGTTATATGGGAGCGAAACCTGGGTGCCGTGCTGTACTGAATGCATTAAACAAGTTGCAACAGAGACACCTTAGACAACTCTTAAGAATCCGGTGGTTCCATCATGTCTCAAACGTATCGGTTCTTGAAAAAGCTAACTGCGAGAGTATTGAAGTCATGGTTACAAAATCCCGCTTAAGATGGGCTGGTCACGTATGCAGAATGCAAGAAAACCGCATACCAAAATCTCTGCTTTACGGTGAGCTTATAGACGGTAAGAGGAGGCCGGGTGGACAACTCAAAAGGTACAAGGATATTTTCCACGAAAATTTAAATTAAAAGGGGATTAACATGCAGAAGGAGTGGGAAGAATCAGTTCACAATAGAACTCAATGGAGAAGAATTCTCAGTTAACAGCGACAACCAAAAAATAAAGAGGCAACAAAGCAATGAGATTGAATGTCTGGAGTGCAGTAGGCAAATAACATCACGTATAGGGCTTTTCAGTCACAGAAAAGCTCATGAAAGAAAACGCCTTGCGTGACCATCTTCTGATGAGTGTCGAATACTCGTCAGCGAGTAATGGCAGTATGTATGTATGTAGATGTTTCTTTAATGCTGAAAACAACAAATTGTTGTCAAAATTTGTTAGAGTACCTTAAATAACAAAGTAAGTATACTTGGGTATATACCAGGTATGATACCGGTATACCGTTATAATGATATTTACCAAAATTCAATATAACCTTTGTATACCCACAGGGTATATACCGCGTGTAAGAGGTTGCGTATTTAATATGCCGGGTGTTTGCTCATCATTGATAATAATCGACAAGTAACTATTTTCTATAAAACACTACAGTCTCATCTCTATCAAAGGAACGCAGTTATTAAATAGAGTTTTGAAAAATTCTTCTCCGTTTTTGAATATTCTTATAGATCTGCAATTTTTACATAGTTTTTATTATAAAGTTACAACTAAATCAGGTGTTTGGTTTAGTTATTGTCTCGTGGCAACAAGAATGAAACTTATTTAATCGATAATTACCCCCAAAGATGCAAACATTAGATAAATGAGTTATGCATAAGATACCTAATATATACAGAAATTATTATTGGTATTGATAAAATATCTGAATTCAAATAATATTTCATTTCATACATTTCTAATACAGTTTACTAATGCATACTAAAAAATTTTAGGACAAACAATATTTTCAAAAAAAAAATTTGAAATTTTTACATTTTTTATCATCACCCCTTTGAAACCTCTAAGTGAGAAATAAGTCCCATAGAGTTTTTCATGTAGAATTCAGTGCTGTAACTAGTTGTTCCTTAGGAGATATCATTTTCAAGCCATTTTATATACATAATTTTCATATAACATAACGACCTTGGACGCAAATCTACCATATTAATATTGGTCCATTAAGAAATATTACAGAGCAAAAATGGCATATTTACATTACGATTCCGAAGACATGTTAAACTAAGATTTTTTTTTAAGATAAATAACTAAAAAATACTTTTTTTCACATGAATAGGAAACCTACATTTTTTAGCCGAATCCGAACGATACTATTAAAAGAATCTGTATCTGTACTAGGAGAATATAAAATTTAACTTATGGATTGCATTTGTGATCGATTGAACGACTGTGATCACTGACTACTGATAGCTTTTACAAATTTAAAAAAGGATCTAAAGTAATCTCACAAAAAAATGCACGAGATGTTATAACGGCACAAGATGTTATAACGTCTGTCAGGTTAACCAATATCAATAATAATAGTAAAATAATTTTTGGCTTACCAAGAGCAGAACAGAGCCGGCTGATGCGGCTGCGGGCTGCGCGTGCGGCGGCAGGCCCGGCACCAGCAGGAGAAGCGAGCCGCCCGCCAGAGCGGCCAGCGCCACCCAACCGCACAGCTGCAAAGGGTGCAGGGGCGGTTGAAGTCCGTGCTGTCTGCGCAGTCGGACAGACCTACAAAGTAAACAGAAATAATCCATTAGTAATCAGATTATAATATTAATAACCTATCATTTTATAAAATAATAATTATTTTTGCTTTATATTAGACAGACAAGGTCACCTTGTCGCAATGTTTGTCTCGGAGATAAATTAACAGAATGCGCATAGAGAGTCACCACTTGGACTTGTTTGTATGCTTTACGAAACTCCATAGATAAAGCCCTTTTTCAGAGGCGTACCGCTAACATAATCCATTAGACATTTGTTTACCATTCTTAGTAATTGAATAGAGGCATTATGTCATTCATTGTGCATTGTCCTCCATAAAATAACACACCTTGTTTTCGACAGTCGATATCAATTAAATTTGTGGTTTTCCAGTCGTTTCTCGCTAAATTCTAACAATTTCTAGTTAACGTTGTAAAAAAAACTTTGGAATTTTGTTTAAGTGTAAATCTAAAGTATGTACGAAGATGTATTTCAGGAAAATATTTTAACTTCTAGAGGGTGGCTCAAAAAAGTGTGAGTGGATCGGGATGAGTTTTTTTAAACGGAACACTCTGTATATTATTGTATTTTTGACTTTCGTTCAGATCACTTAACATAATCCTAAGACATGAGTAAATGTATTTTGGTAGTTTCAGAGATATTAATAAATAAATAAAAATTATAAATTTTTCAACCTTTCTTAAAAAAATATGAATAATTAATTCAAGAACTGTCCTGAAATCGAAACTATATTAGGTATTTACTTTAGATGGTCTATATTTACTTTGCTATAATTATGGAAATCGTAAATCATACAGGATGTTTAAAATTCAACGCAAAACTTTCTAAAATGTAAAATAATTATTCGTCGTTTTTTTAAATGTAACACCCTGTATATTGAAAAAATATCAATAGATGGAGAATTAAAAAATTAACATTCTTTGTATTTAGAGTATTTCAAACTTTTAAATGGTTTCGCAAATATTCGCGGTTTATATTTCATATAGCATTTTCCACAGTAAATTTTTATCAAAGTCACCCAATGATTTTTCTCTCGTATTTTACCATTGAATGCGCCATTTGAAATAATACTGTGTGTATCTGCAAAACTATTAAAAATTTTGAAATACTTTAAATGCAAAAAATGTTTATTTTTTAACTATCCATATAATAAAAATATAATATACAGGGTGTGGTATTTAAAAAAAAAAAGAAAAAATATTTTATATTTTACTTTGATATTTTAGAAACTTTGGCGTAGAATATTGAACATCCTGTATGATTTACGATTACAATATTTATAGCAAAGTAAGAACAGACCATCTAAAGTAAATACCTAATATAGTTTTGATTTCAGAACAGTTCTTGTATTTTTAATATTCTTTTTTAAAGAAGGGTTGAAAAATATATATCTTTGATTTAGTTTTTAATATCTCTGAAACTATCGAAATATATTTACTAATATCTTAGGCTTATGTAAAGTGATCAGAAAGGAAGCCAAAAATGCAATAATATACCGGGTGTTCCATTTAAAAAAAATCATCCAGATTCACTCACACTTTTTTGAGCCACCCTATAGAAGTTAAAATATTTTCCTGAATTACATCCTGGTACGTACTTTAGGTTTGCACTTAAACAAAATTTCCAAATTTTTTATTCTAGGAGCTACAGATGCCCGACGCACTATTGCCGGACCCTGTATAAGCTAAATATTAGGTTTTCTCTGTGGATACAACTGATTATCGCAAGATGTTGCTAGGATATTCTATTAATTTTAATTGTATTTTTTAGACATTGTGAATGATCACAACACATGTGTAATACAGTAAAAAGTGTAAAGTCTAATTGAAACCCCTAATTTGTTTCTCTCTAATTTCGAGGTTCCGAATGAAGCTTTAAAGCACCAAATTTCTTCAGTTCAATTCTACTGAAAGGGCGATAATAGTTGGGTATATGTGATAAATTAATAATAGCAAAAAATATGATGTTAATCAAAATTAATAACATTAATAATAAGTAATAAAGAATGGAAATAATGTCAATATATCGAAAATATATTGCCACAGAAACGTCTTTTGATTTTTAAGACTTTTTATTTAAGAAGAAATTTAACTATATTTTTCATCCATTATTTTAATTTGTAAAAGTATAAATGGCATTAACCATTTTAGAACAAGGAAATTTTTTTTATGAGAAATGCATTTTTCTCAAAATGTCAATAATAAAAAACAGCCGACGAACAGTCGACTTTTTTGAGTACCCGCTCTTTACTTGCCTTGTCCCTTTTGGTACACATGCCGGCAGTCGGAACCCCAGTGTCGATAGTATTTATAAACGGAGCTTCAATGGAGCTTATAATCCGACTTTTTACATAAAAAAAACTAATGATAAATTGAATTTCTGGTCTGTGCTGATACTACTACTGATGATTGTCTACGGCCGACTTACCCAGATCTGCGCAGCCTGCAGCCATAACGTTTTACCAGTTAAGTAAGTAAGACCGATTGAAATCTAGGGTATACACTAAATGATTTAAGTGCGGTTTTACAGTATTGTGTTTATTATTAATTTTTACCAAAAAAATTATATTAATAGTTCAAAGTTTATTTGCAAACACCTAATGCTAATTGTGAAAATTATATCGTTTGGTCATATCATTAATATCTGTAAACAATTTTGTAAAATTATATTGGTTTGTGAAAATATGCAAAAATATTAGATTTTTAAAAGTCGTTTATTAATGATGATGCATTTACTGTAATATACGGTAATCGCAAAACATTTTCCGATTCACGTCATCAATCATATCGAAATTGACACTAAAGCCTATAAACCTGACTAAATGAAATTTTGGCAAAAATATTTAAATTTATTGTATAATTTAAGATATCGAACAACTCTTCATTTTATTTTATAGGGCAAATGATTGTAACAGATATTTTATTTATATTAAAGCTGCAAAAATTACTGTAAACCGAATTTTATTATCGCTATGTTGGTCACATTGCGCCCTGTTCAGCAACGTTGTCGTTTATTATTTGACAATTATTATAATGTCAGTCATTATTTTGTATAATATTGCGTTGTTGTTAAATTTTTGCTTATTTTCATAGTTTATTTTTAAATTGTACTTTTGTATTTTGTATTGCGTTTCTTGAAATTGTGTGTTGAAAATATGCATTTAAACAGTCGAAGCAAAGAGCTTGTAGTTTCTCTGATAAACTATTTTGAACGAGAACGTGACAATCATTTTTACCCTAATTATTACCCTTGACTGCAGACAAAGAAGAAGTTTGATTGGTAAGCACATCATACCACTTTCAAAATTTTTATTAAACACGTTAGTTTTTATCAAATACTGTGATTATTAGATTGTGCTCTAATGGCACCCCCTTACTTGTTATTACGATTTGTAGTGTTGTAAGATGTACATCAATAGAATAGTTTTTGCCAATATTGTAATAAGTAAAATAAGCTATAAAACAAATAAATCAATTAATTACTAAAATACTAATTAGTAAATTAAAAGCAAAACGTTTTTTTTTTTGGTTGTTCGGCCAAAACGTATCAAGTAAAACACTGTGTGTTTTGACTGAACAAGTAAAAATGACAAGAACCTTTATTTGCAGACGGGACTTAAAAACGATGATTTGAATTTTTGGTCTGTGCTGATAGTAGTACTAGTCATGACTGGAGTACCGCACCGACTTACCCAGATCTGCGCAGCCGGCCGCGGCCCGAAGCCGGCGACTCAGGGGCGACCGTCGCCTGCGAAGTGGGCGGCGTCATCGCGTAGGGGCGGCTGTCGTCGGCTGCTGCTACCGTTGTTGCGAGCGGCCATGACGTTGCTGCTGCTGCTGCTACTACGGCTGCTGCTGCTCCTCGAGGGCGGCATGCGGTCGGCGGCGCGGTCACGTGCACACTGGCGTGCAGAAAGAGCGTAGAGGGAGGCGGCAGCGCCGCGACGCTACGACACGGAAGCGCCGTGGGGCGGGGGAGCGCGGGGTATCGACCGAAAGAGACATCGGCGGGGCGTGGGGATGGACGGATGACCAGTGACGGGACAATATACAGGGGCCAGACAAATATCGAGCGTTTTATAAAAAATCTGGGGAAAATATACAAACTTGTATAACTAACTTTATCAAATGTACCTAGAGAACATATCTAGTTTCAAGAAGCTCGAGTTGTCTACAAGAAATCTCAATGGAAAACATTAATGTGAAGAAACCGTTTCAACTCCCAGTGGATGACATACCAAGAATCTACAACTTTGAGAAACACCTCTCTGTAGCATTGAGCAACAAAAAGAATTGAAGAGGAGAAACGTTGGATCAGCGGTTAAACCATAATATAACATGGTACACCAATGCTTCCAAAACCAAAACAGGAACAGGGATAGGAGTATTTCGGCTGAAAACTAAATACTCCAAATCAATGGGCACCTACCTAGCACCCTTCAGGCAGAAATCTACGCCATCGAAAGACGCGTACAACTTATTTTAGGTAGGAATAATTGGAAACCACAAATAGCCACCTTTATGTAAAATTAGGTAAAAAAAATCCTCCTACTGTCTTCCTAGCATCAACCCACCAAAAAGTAGAAAGTAATTAATTAATTAATAACAAAGTAAACGATCTGGCTAGAAAAGAAGCGAATACTCCACTAACTGGACCAGAACCCTTGTGCGAAGGAACAGAATTAAATTATTCTGGGTGCCGGGCCACAGCGGCATCCAAGGCAACGAAAAAGCCGATGAGCTAGCTAGGCAGGGATCATCGGCATCCTATCTTGGTCCAGAGCCAGTACTGGGAATACCCAAATGTATGGACTGTAGTGCACTAAAACTCTGGATCAAGGAAAAGCACAATGTCCACTGGAGAAACAGACAGGGGCACAGGCACAGCAAGGCTTTTATCCAAGGACCTACCTCTAAAACCGCAAAAGAACTGCTAATGCTTAGCAGGAATAAAGTGCGGATTACAACAGGCCTCTTGACAGGACACATGGCTGTCAAGTGTTATCTGAATAAGCTCAGCCTGTATCAAGGAAGTCTTTGCTGCAGACTCTGCGATAAAGATCCTGAAACAGCGGAGCACATAATATGTCATTGCGAGGCTCTGGATCGCAAGCGACACTCTTTATTTGGGAAAGCTAGGCTAGAACCGGAGGAACTATGCTCCCATCCTATCAAGGACCTGCATAAGCTAGTGCAGGGCACAGGGATAGGAGAATGGGTGCAGATATAGAAGGGGGACAAACACAATAGGCCTCACAGGTCGCAGTGTTTCCGGCAGAGGACGGCCCCTTGTTATGACAAAAAAAACGAACCCTTGTGATTTCCCAAGTGGAAATCACAAGGGTTCGTTTTTTTTTGTCATAACAAAACCAACTTAAAGCATAAGTCAAGAACGTCAAGAAATAGGAAGCCGTCTAAGGCGCTCGAAAAAATTCAGGAGGAATGTAAGAATAATTGGATTGGTTGTAGTTTTTAACAGGACATTGTCTCCTCAATGAACACCTCAGTAGATTGAAACTAAGAAACAACGTCGAATGCAGATGTTGGTTCACCTCATCACTAGTGCACCGAGACGACAACCATTCGTGCATAAACATTGGTACTACTGATATCGCAGATGGAGAACTAACCCAGTAAAACCGTCTCAGATACTGGCTTTGTCAAAACCCTGAGACTGTATGATGAGTTATAACACAAGAAAATGAGATACATAAGACTTGTAAGGTCGTCCCATCCACAATCTATAAAGAAGCCGTTATCATATCTAGCAATAATATCTTTATTAGCCATTCAAGTATGGAAATTTTCACAATATGGTTACCACTTACAAAACGCACCAATAAAGAATTAAATACATTCAGTAATACTTAAGATATTTTTCAAGTTGCACGGACGTTTAGTAGAATAATACATATCAAAAATTCTTTGTATCTGTGCTCAAATTTTTCGATGACTATGTAAGTGATTTTGTATAGCTTGGAGGAATGTATTTGATGTATATTTTTTCCTTTTAAAAGGGCCTCTAAATAATTTATTTTGTAATTTTGAATAATGTCTAAACAGTGCCTCTCCATGAATACTCAATTTACACCAGTACAATTTATAAAAATAGTAGGTTTAATAGAGGAATCCTAGAGTTTGCGATACTTACAGCTATTAGTATATAGCAAATATTACTGGTAGGAATAAAAATGGATTTTGGAGATATAGCATTTCGTGTGAACACATGGACAGGGCACATCCAAAAACAACCGTGTCGTAGATGGGTGAAGCTAGTCTGACAATTTAACCCAAAAAGCCAAAGACTCCAATGAAGCGATCTTAAGACCATAAGCTATGATACACTAATCTCATGATAGATCATGCAGGTTGAAGGCTAATTGCACAGTCAGCTAAAATCTTTTTTTTTTAAACAATAATGAATATTGTTTTAAGCGTGTTTTAATGAGGCCATTTGCCAAAAGACAATAATTCAGTATTTTGCGCAATAATACATATATTTTCGCTTTTTCAGTTTAAAAGAAGACAATCATTATTAAATGTATACCTAACTATATGACTGTGCCATATACATATGTCAATCCTATAATTTGTTCTGTTTTTATTACTTTGTCTAATCTTCAAGGCTGAGAGATTATCAGTTGAAGGTTACTGACATGACTCAAGGTTAGCGTATTCTACATAATAACATTGTGTAATTTTAAGTCAATTTATGGTTGATGTTAACCGCGTAATCAAATGTCATTAATTTTATTAGTGCTTTAAGTACATCTTATCGTAATTTGTGTACAAACTTTGCAGAAAGATTAGCCGAGTGCTTATAGATATTTAGACGAAAATTTTCACTAATAATTAATGTAACTTAATATAATCCTATCTTGATATATTATTAAAGAATTGTTTATCAATTGTATTTTATCTCTTTTTAATACATTTATTTGCACCTGAAAGTCTAAATCTTCCCTTACTGGTTAGTTTTTGGTGATTTTTCCTCAATATCTCAAGGTTTGTACTGCCCTATATCTCCTAAACTAACCTATCTCCTAACTATAAACCTAACCAAACTAAGCCTTGAGATATTCGGCAACGTCTATAATGGTGAAGACCTTCAGGCTGCCGGTGGACTATATAGTCCAGAAAATTGACAAAATCCTATTCCAAATCGCACAGTTCAGATCTTAAGACCAAATCAATAGCGATCTTTTCACACTACACGTTCAGATTTTATAAAAGATAATTTCGCCATTTTATAGTCTGGTACAGTTCCCGCCAAATCTGTGGTCTGTGCAGTTAAAAATATTCAGCATTCATGAAGGGTTAAAAATATTCAGCATAGGAGATCTCATCTCTTCGATAAGATCTTTATCAAAACCGGCACTACACGTTGAAATTTGGACTGAATTGAAGGACTGTACAGTTCAAATCTCCCAGATATCGTTGCATGTAGAGCCATTTTAAGTTAATTTGCCAATTTGCTATATGTTACCTAACCAACTGCTGTCCACCACGATTATTTTCCAAACGTGAACTGTCGATTTGTGGAAGACCTCATTAAAATATACGAAGTGTGTGTCTTGCCTTTGGCAAACCTAATCTAACCAAACGTGAACTGTCGATTTGTGGAAGACCTCATTAAAATATACGAAGTGTGTGTCTTGCCTTTGGCAAACCTAATGAGGAAGGAATGCTACGAGAGTAATAAAAGTGATTCCGGATAGTCATAATCGGCAGAAAATCTAGAAGAAATTGAGCCGAATTAAGGTAAAAAACACTCTCTTTGGAAACTGGGCTGATGACGTATACAACAGAAATGCTCTGAATATGAAAATGACAAAGCTTCTGCCGTATGGAACGGTAGACGCGATTGATATATACGTCAATATACGTTATATTGAGTCACGAACTGACGTATATTCTCAGTCCGTGTGTGGGTTAATCGCATTTAACCACAATCATTAAGGCAACAATCTCGTAATTTTGCCATGAGAAAAAACTGTGCGTGTGCGGCTACCTTTATGTGAAGAATTTAAAATATATTGCGTACACTAAACAAATTATGACGTATTTCTTGTATTCCTGGGATATTTAAATCAGATTTTATCCAGTTTTACTTTACTTAGATATCTAATGTTGTCGACGAAAGGTTTCGGTAAAATATTATACGAAATATTATTATCCTTGTCTGTTCATTAGTACTTTTCCATCAATAAAATCCCTACAGATGTATTTATTGTTTACTGTGACTTATCGCCTTAAGAATGTGTAAAATGAAAATAATTGGTCATAATTTGCAACTTGAATAGTGTTCTTTCAAGATAATAGTAATGAATGACAAGTGTTATTTTTTTTAAAAAATTAATAAAATTGTATGCTGACTATCAAACCTATCATTTTACAGATAAATTTGCGTTTCCCTTTCATTATGTTTCTTTTCGAGTAAATATTTTGATTTGTCGGGAAGTGTCGATTGTCTTAAGTCGGAAACAACAAACAAAATAAACTTTGCCTTCTAGATGTTTTCCATTGTGGAATTCTCAATGTACTTCAGTTAATAGGGTTTTAATTAATGTCGGATATACAGGGTTACTCAAAAAGTTCTATTCTACTAATAATTGCTCTGCAAACACGTTTAAAAATAGGAGACCTTTATTTAAATATAAAGGTAATCCAAAAAGTTAAAACATAGACAACAATATAAAAAAATTACAATTTTCTATTTAAGTAAATATATCTATAACAAAAGATAAAAAAAAAATAATGGCTTTCAGTACTGAGTTTGGAAAGTCGTTTCAAGCTCTGCTCAAAAGTGAAGTAAAGATTTCAGTTAACGTCTCCTTTTTGCTGCCCAGGGCTAAT